GATGAGGGGAAGGCTGTGGATGTGGTCTATCTGGACTTCAGCAAAGCCTTTGACACTGTCTCCCACAGCATTCTCCTGAAAAAGCTGGCAGCCCACAGCTTGGATAGGGGCACCCTGTGCTGGGTAAGGAACTGGCTGGAGGGCCGGGCCCAGAGAGTGGTGGTGAACAGTGCTGCATCCAATTGGCGGCCGGTCACTAGTGGTGTCCCCCAGGGATCAGTGTTGGGCCCAGTCCTATTTAATATCTTTATTGATGATTTAGATGAGGGGATTGAGTCCACCATCAGCAAATTTGCAGATGACACTAAGTTGAGGGGCAGTGTCAATCAGCTGGAAGGCAGGAGGGCTCTGCAGAGGGACCTGGAGAGGTTGGAGAGTTGGGCTGATTCCAGCGGGATGAGGTTCCACAAGGCCAAGTGCCGGGTCCTCCACTTTGGCCACAACAACCCCATGCAGCGCTACAGGCTGGGCACAGAGTGGCTGGAGAGCAGCCAGGCAGAAAGGGACCTGAGAGTTTGGATTGACAGGAAGCTGAACACGAGCCAGCAGTGTGCCCAGCTGGCCAAGAAGGCCAATGGCATCCTGGCCTGGATCAGGAACAGTGTGGCCAGCAGGTCCAAGGAAGTGATTCTTCCCCTGTACTCAGAGCTGGTAAGGCCACACCTCGAGTACTGTGTCCAGTTCTGGGCCCCTCCGTTCAGGAAGGATATTGAGGTGCTGGAGCTGGTCCAGAGGAAAGCAACTAGGCTGGTGAAGGGACTCGAGCACAAGTCCTATGAGGAGAGGCTGAGAGAGCTGGGGCTGTTCAGCCTGGAGAAGAGGAGGCTCAGGGGAGACCTCATCACTCTCTACAACTCCCTGAAAGGAGGTTGTAGCCAGGTGGGGGTCAGTCTCTTCTCCTAGGCAGCTATCAGTAAGACAAGAGGGAATGGTCTTAAGCTGTGCCAGGGAGGTTTAGGTTAGATATTAGAAAGAATTTCTTTCCAGAGAGGGTAATCAGACATTGGAATGGGCTGCCCAGGGAAGTAGTGGATTCTCCGTCCCTGGAAGTTTTTAAGACTGGATGTGGCACTTAGTGCCATGGTCTAGCAAACGCAGCGGTAGTGGATCAAGGGTTGGACTTGATGATCTCGGAGGTCCCTTCCAACCCAGCTGATTCTATGATTCTTAACCTTCCATTTTAGGATGAAACAATCTCTAAATCAGTTTTTGTCTCTCTAGATATTTTAGCTTCAAAAGACTTCTGACTAAAATACAGTGAGATGCACCTGACATCTCATGGCATTACAGCTATTGAAGCAAGAGCAAAGCAGGGACAAGAAAAGTATGTCAATTTTTACAGTGTTTAGCCTTGGAACATTAAATATGGTGCTAGCAAAGCTGAAGCATGGTCTCTGCAAATAAGAAACACATTTTACATGTTTTCTTGTCAAGTGTTTTTCTTCTCTTGATGATCCAGTACAAAACTAGGCTGAAAACACTTCTTATCTTTTAATGCATGTTGCATTTTATACAAGCTTGTAATAGTCATAATCATCATGAAAACCCCAGAGTTTAAGGCATTTTTGCACCTTTTTTTTCCTCTCATCTCCAAGATGAAAATGTAGTATGATAATGCCTTGAAAAACCTTTGTACAACATCCCTGAAGAGTAACTCCGACTTCAGGGTGGTCAAGAACAACATAAGCCAAAAACTTGTGCAAAAAATGGCAGAATTTGATCTGTAAAATGGGTAAACGGAAGCTGCTTTGGAGTTGAGAAGGAGTTTGAAGAATGGATGTGTGAATTTCCAACCCACAACCTTGAATTTACTGTATATCAGTACATTCAAGATTATGTTGTGGGGATAATTAACACAGACATATCCTCTGTTAAAGTCTTAGCAGTAGTTTTTGGAGACTTGAAAGTAAATATGACATTTGCTCAGTATGTACACAGGTGACATGACTATGTATTTTATCATTTCATTCATGAGGTAACTTTAGTTTCATTTGGCTCCTTCACATTTTCCATGTGCTTTTTAGTTCAAGCTACAAATTACAATTTTATAATTAATGCTAGTCTCCAAACCATTACAATAGTACACATAAATAATGCCTCCCAGTTTAAAGGGTTTGAACCTGGTGATTATTGACTTGAAACAGGATAACTGAATTTTGCATAAGACTATTATTTAGTATGACGATGTTGTGAAGTCTTTCCTAAAAACAGTATAAAAATTTTCTTCTACAATACTTTATTTACTTCTCAGTCTTTAAAAATTAATCTATTTACTGAATTTTCCCAATTTGACCTTTCTATTAATTCAATTACAGAAAATCAAGTGAATTAAACTACATTACAAATATTGGCAGTTCAGTGCTGTAGCATCTTTGGGTGGAACACAATACTGAGTAAATCTACACTTTTTTTGTCTTGTACAACTCTCATAGACTTGTCTGAGAGTCAGCCCTTACTTTCATATCCTTTTTCTCCCACTCCAGCAATTGAGATCACTTAAAGGATAGTCACCACTTTTGCTCATACTAGATACAGTTCATGTTCTACTTTAGATCTTCATGTTTCCAATTTACTGGAAATACTATTTTTAAAGATATAAGAATTTCAGGATCATCTGTGATTTTAGATGCTATAATGTCACTTTTTAAAAGATGAGATTTAACATGTATTTTGCAACCGTTGTCTTTTGCAAATTCTACAAGCAACTTACTGGGAATCACTTATTTGTTCACTTGAGACATTATCTACTTGACGTATTTGCAGTCTATTCTGTTATTTAAAATTATGAACAAGGAAAAGTTTCTGCCACTTCAAACAGTCACACCCCAAGTCTAGGCAGAGAGAGCCCATGGTCCTTAAAGAGCTACCAGAGATAAACAAGCACTGACTACCTCCCCAGTGAAAGAAGGTACAAAACAACAGAGAAAAGTGGCAAAAAGCAGGACTGTCTCTGTAAAGAAGGTACAGAAGTTAGATGAGGGAAATTAGTAGAAGTGAAACTGGCAGTCGTTAGAAGGAACAGAATAAAGGCAGCCATTTAAGAGCACTGAGGAAACAGAAAGCAAGAGCTGGATTAGACACTGTATACTGGTAAACTAGGGGCAAAGAAATAATTAGTTGGGATTGGAGAAAAATTAAGAGGAGAAAAAATGCTGGAGCAAACAGTAATAAATAAGTATTACTCAAGGAACAAGACGAATCTTAAATAAATGAATAATTCAAATCTTCATGAGTAAGTTATCCAGGTCCAAAAATGCATGTGGTGAACAAAAGAAATCCAAACCATTACTGTGGCTTTCACTATGGACTATGGACTATGACATTTCAAGGAATTCTAGTAAACAATTTTTTTTATTCAACTTCAGAGAAAAAAATTATCTATAGATTCAACATAAATCACAATGTTCTACCTTTAGCTGGCATGATACAATGACATACAGTTCTTCTTCACTTCAAGATCTTAATGTGTTTTTATTATTTTAAAACCAAACCAAAACACAACCTCCCTAAATACACACAAACCAACCTTGTTGCATCACTTCTGAAGAGTACATTTGCAGTTTATCAGTAGTTTCATTTGTTAAGATCAAGTGAGGTGAAAGGTACCAACTGAACATTCTTCAAAGAGAACTAGACTAGTAGCTTATCTTAGGTAAACATATGGTCACATGGGAGAACAGACTACTTATATTTGTAAGGACAGCAAGTGGACACGCTATGAAAAAGATTGAAACAAAAAAATCTAGGAGAAACTATGCAAATACCTTTGTCCTTGTGTACCCTCTAGTGGCTGGCAAGGTTGTGCTGGCCTCACAGTACCTGAGCAGGCAATTTCCTCGACAAGGCAGAATCAGAGTGCTTACCTCTGCAATAATTCTCTTAAATAGATGGAGATTCATGATATCCAGGTAATGAGCAAGCAAAAGTATGGATTATTTGAAGTTTTAAGTTTACAGCCAATTCTGCCTTGTTAGCTTAACCCAGTGAATCCAGGTTTTTCACTTAAAGCATGGTAAAATATATTGTGCTATTCACACAGCAGGGATTCAGGGCATGTGTCTGTGTAACTGTGGCACACGGCATGCTGCATGCAAACTGCAGCAACATCGGGAAGGTAAGCTGAGTATTAGTTCACCCCAAGTCCTCTGAGGGTGGAAAAAATCCAATGCACAGGTTGCAGAGCCACATAAGAGCCAGTTATGTATAAAAGAGCAGTGAACAGTTCAAGACTACTGTAAAAACACCCTTTAAACTGGAACAGGCTGTTTTGTCTGTATGTGCTGAAGAACTGGATTACGTCAGGGACCAAAACTCACCCACCATAAGAATATTATGCAAGCAAACAACTAACATTTAATTTAGTTCAGCTTAAGCAAACATTAAAGACTGTAATACAGACATTTAAAATAAACCCACAAAACCCCCATCTCTCATACCCAAACCCTCCAACAAACAAAAGCAAAGGTCAGTACCCTAGTCAAGGTACCAAGACCTCTCCACGATGAAACAAACCCCAAACCACCCCTCATTGTCATGACTTAGCAAAAGGATGTAAAGTGCCCTCTATTTTGCTGGTGGACCATGCATCTGGTGAAACACAAAAATTACACCAACCAAAATGAGAATAGGTTTTTAGCACCTCATGTCTATTTGTCCATGAACTGAAGATGCAATAGCTAGTTGCATCATTTAACTAAAGATGCAAGTCATTAAACAGTATCAGAAGAAACACCTTGACAGCTGCTGAAGCATTCAGGCTTCAACAAATCACTACACAATTAGCGTGGGAGGAAAGTATTTTGAGGCCTATCCTTATGCTGTGTCATGTAAATAAGGTGCTGACACTACCAACACTATGGAGGCACAGAGAGAAGTAGTCAGACTGTATACCAATACCTACACATCATGAGAAAAAAAAATCAAAATACTGTCTTGAAATGACATGAAATAATGCATATTCAGAATGCACAAAACAGACACACGTCAGAAGTAAACTGAAACCCAGGCTATATGTACAACAGACATCACTTTTAATAAAAAAGGTACTTTTATCTTCAGTACAGCATACAGACAGAGGCAACCAGCCAGTCCTCCAGACAACTGAAATAGCTTCCCTTCAGATATAGCAATTAAGAAGTCAGCAGCAAGATAGCTGGCTCTGCTCTACAGATTGCAAGTGTTTTTTCTGCACCTCAGATGTACATCAGAAAGAAGTCACGTGATCAGACAGTCTAGGCAGCTCTTTGCTTATGCTATTCACCTGCATCATACAGGCACAAGCAGAAATGCAAAAATCCTTCTTGCCATGTGTTTACAGGTTGAGTTTAAGACAGTAGTCCTTTTTCCATTTTTGAAGAGAACACCTGAACAACTCTATTGCCTGTTGTTCATCCCCATGCCTGAGTTTTGCAATAATGCAGTACTAGCTTGCCATCACTTCCAAAACACTGCAAGAAAACAAAAAAACATGAGTGTTACATTTATTCATGGACTAGCATATACATAAAGCAAAACCTCTCCCATCAGGTAAAACATGTCATGGAATATTGTTACTGGTAAGAAAGCTCTCCATCATAACAGCAGGCATGACAACGTTACTGTATGTGAAAGAATGCATTTCCAGAGGCTGTGTGAAGTCACATCTCTTTAGATTACATTCATACAGATCTGTGAATATCAACTAGGTAATACTCTGTAACTGCTAAGGGCAGTAACAGATTTCAAGTGCCAGAAGTATACAGACAAATCCTGCTAAACACATTTGGAAAGGTTATTTAAGATGAAAGTCACCTCATAGAGGGTCCCAACTTCTTGGTCTGGAGATGGAGCAAAAGACTGGTTTACATATATGAACTGCAACAAAGCAAAAGAGAAGAGATGGAGATCTCACATACATCTCATAGGGAATACAGAAGAAACATTCTGCAGTCAGAAGTTATTTTACAATCTTTACAGCACACACCAGAACACTACCAATTAGTATCTTCACTTCAGCGTGGAGGGGCAACGTGACTTCCAGGAGTCACCTCTGTCTGGCTAACCAGACCAAGTCAAAGTAAGCGTGGCGACTTCCTTTTCCTGCAAGCTGACCCATGAGCCTCCCATACAGAAGCACAAAGTGAACTCACTGGCTTAGTTCTTGCTCCTATTTCAAGCATCCAAACCATTCACACTATTCCAGATTTGCTCAATTAGAATTATTCTTTTTTCAGGTCATCTTTCTCAGTTCCTACTTCAAATGCATTTACACATATAGTAGTGACTCCACAGTGTCAGAAAGGTCCTTCGGATCGGCAGTGTGAGGTAGCAACAGGTAGTGGGGCATCATGTGCTATTCCCAAATAACAGCTATAAAATTCCTATGGCTTTGCTCCTGAAACCACACAGGAAGGCTACGTACTCCTTTTTTTTTTTCCTGAGATAATGAGATCACAGTTACTGAATCAAATTGTTGAGAATATCCATGAACAGTTAATTCCTGAACTATCACTCTTCTCTGAGATACTAAGCCTTGAGAAAGGGAAATCCGCCAAGATTTCCAGGTGAAAGAGAAGGCTAGTGAAATCCTTTATGGCTATATACTTAAATAAGACTCTGCAGACTAACAGAATGATTTCATTCACACTTTAGTTGGCTACTTTAATGAATCTAGCTTTAACCTCATATCTTAAATTAAAACTTTGAAGTTTATAGATGTTAAGAGTAAAACAACAAAAGTCATGCAATTGTATTTCCAGCTCTTCCAATGTTATCACAAAGTCACTTGGGCTTGTGAAGGGTTCCATGGGAAGCAACTCATAAATAATACTGGCAATCTGCTGTCCAACTGTGAGCACTTCCCAGCTACCCACTTTGAAAAGACAAATCGTCCTATGAAGTAATTAAACTTTTTGAGATGTAAGTTCTGAAGGAAACATACATTCATATTCAGAAGGTCAATCCCAAACACTTTGGACTTTTTCCCAAATACCACATCCGTGTACCCAACTTCCACAGGTGCAGTGCGCACAGAAATGTTTCCCTGAGATGCAGCGCTGCCCAGCGGCCACACAGCTCTGCCCGGCAGTATCAGACATGGAGAAATGGAGAAAAAAGCCCAAAGGCCAGAGCTGAGCACACCCAGGCTGCACTGCCACAGCTCCCCTCAGTGGGATAGTTCTCCTGGTGCGCCTCCTAAAACCTTCCTGCTGGAAGCTGCAGCCTGGAATTCCAACAGTGTCCCTGCAAGGTATGACAGCTCCCGCCCGGCGTCCGCCCGTACCAGCTGCTCGGAGGCCATCAGCTTGAGGAATTTCTTGATGAAGTCCACGAGGCCCTGGATGGTGCGGGTCCGCTCCACCGCCCACTTCTTGGTCTTCATGATGGGGGTGTCGCCCACGGCCTTCAGCAGCACGTCAACTGCGGGGAAGGGGCGTCAGACCAGGGCCCGCCCCCAACACCGCCCATTGGCCCGCTCCGCCCGCCCCCCGTCGCCTATTGGCTGGTGCAACCGCCCGTCACCGCGAGCGCCCGCCCCGCCAGCAGCCCCCGCGCCCCATTACTTTTCTTCTTCGCGTCGCCCGCGGGCTCCTCGGTGCCCGGCGACCCGGCCGCGGGTGGCCCCGGTTCGGCGGCCCCCGCCGCCGCTCCGCCCTCCGCGGCCTCCTCCCCGCCGTCGCTGCGGCTGCCACTCTGCGGCGCGGCGGGCTGCAGCTGCTGCTCCTCCGCTTCCGCCATGATGGGGCCGCAGCTCCGCCTCCGCGGGCGGCGGGAAGTGACGAGACGCCACCGCCTTTCCCGTCACGTGGGCACGACGGTCACGTGGGGCGCGAGCAGTCCCGCCGGCAGCGGCCGCCCCCTGCCTGGCACGTGGTGCGCGCGCGACCCCCCCACGGAGACGTGGGGAGAGGAAGAGGAAGGAGGAGGAAGAAAAGAAGGAAGGAGAGGAGGAGGAATAGGAAGGGAGGGAGACACAGCACTGCGCAGCCGGCCCGGTCCTCGCCGCCGCCCCACCATGATCAAAGCCATCCTCATCTTCAACAACCACGGCAAGCCGCGGCTCTCCAAGTTCTACCAGCGCTATGTACGGGCAGGGCCGGGCCGGGCCGGGCCTGGCCGGGCGGGGCTGGGCGGGGCGGGCGCGGATCCCACACTGGGGCACCTGGCCCTGCCGGCTGCGCTGGGCCAGGGACAGCGCCAGGGGGAAGTGGAGGTGCTGAGACCGGCTGAACGAGGCTTCGAGGAAAGCTGTTCCCCTAGCCTGTGGTGTTCCCGCTGGGAATTGCCCTTCAGTAGCTCTAAACCTGAAGGGAGGGAGTTTAGTCCGGCAGCAGACCTGGCTCTGAGCTGCTGTTCTGAACGCGGCTGTGTTTTCAGCCTGAAGTGCTGTAGGTCTGTGCTGTTGCAGAGGGGTCAGAACCTCTGAGATGAGTTTATTGGGACTCGCAGGTTCAGGAGGCAGAACCTTTTCCTTTGCAAACTTTCAGTGTGCTGTAATAATACAGTTGACGTGAAAATGTGATAAAATAGAAAATAATATTCTTCTGCGTGGGAGAAAGTCAGTAGCAGAGCAGCTCTGAAAATGCAGCACAAAGCACTTATCTGAATAAAAAGAAAGTGCAGCCTCAGGGAACTGAGAAACAATGTGGAAACTGTTGATTTAGTTCAAGGAAAAGAGATTTAGTTCAAGGATAAGACGTTTTAAGGTAGTGTTTTGAGCATTCTGTATTTCCCTGCAAATAGGCTAAAGTCTGCTTGGTCTGACTTTGGTCATTAGAATACAAGAGAACAACTGGTGCTTCTAAGAGTTATATAAGCAAATTATTATTTTTCAGTAGTGCAATTACTTACTTGGATTTGTGGCCACTTTCTTGCAATTCTGGCTGTTACAGAAGTCACAGTTTATTGGAACAGATGGATCTTACTTCTGCACCTCAGAGCAGAAATGATGACTATCACACTTCAGTTTACACAGGCTTTGAATTGAAGGAGAGGAACTGATACCGGTCATTCCTAATAATGACTGAATTTGATCCCTTCTTCTTAGCCAATACTGGGAAATTTTAATAGAGCTTTGTGAAGTTATTTTCTTTTTTCTCAGTTGCCAAGTAGATGTCTTTAGTTTTCCATTTCTAATTTAAAAATTAGAATGGAATATTCTCACCTGCACATAAAGATAAGCATTCTCTTGTGTCCCTGCTCTGTTCTTGATAACTTCAATTGCAGAGCTACAGTAACTTCATAAGTTTCTTTTTTTTCCCCTTTTCTTTCTCCTCCCCCCCCCAATGTGCAGCTAACAATTAAATTCACAGATGAAAGACTTTGGAAAGGTAAACTTGTATTAATATGTAAATTATTTCCATTCTCATTTTCATTCAAATGCAATTGCCTCTTTCTGTCTTCTGTTACTGTTGTGTACTCAGGAGTCCAGGAAGGGAGATGAAGCAGGGTAAGAGAGGAATAAATGGCCAGAGGATACTAGATTTTTCTTGTAAAACCATTCTGCTCTATTACTTTCATAAATGGACTTTGAACAAATTCTCAATGCTTAAAGTAGGGTAACATGTCTGTATAAACAGAACGCTTTGAAATTTTGCAAACGTGAATAGCAAATGAAATTAAGAAATTATGGGATTAAGTGATTTCTCTAAAGCTTTGTGGTGCACAGTAACAGGTACAATTGTCTTGTTTATGTTTTTGTGTGTGATTTCAATAAGACAGATTTATTTATGGCTCTTTTAAACTTGTGCATTCTTTCGTGTTAATTGAACCAGTATTGGAGGCAAATCTCAGCTTTTTTACAACAAGTGGAAGTGTCTCCTGCTTTCTAGACAGATTTATTTGGTCAGATCTGTGAAAGAAGTATTTGTTTGCTTCATGATACCAAGACTTATAAAATGTGTCTAACTCTTTTACCTGATATATATGAGAATGGAAACTGCATGAAATTGAGTTAATAATATTTTGCAGTCAGGTAGCAAAATAATAATTTATGGCAGTTAAGTCGGAAGATACATGTACCATCATTTTATCTTTCAAAATATAGACCTATGGCTGTAATTTCAAAGTTAAAAATAACTTTTTGAAGAGTCAGAAGAACTCAGACTCAGAAGTGATGTTTCTGATTTGTTAACAGTTAAGTTCATGGCTTAGGAGAACCTAATTGCTCATGATGCCCTTGTATTTTAAGCTACTTCTGAAGGAGTTATGTATTGCGAAATTTTTCACTTCCCCATGCCCTTCAAGCTTTGGAAATTTGTTTTCCTCTCTATTTATGGGTGAAAGTAGTTTCAAAGCATGTCTGTAGCTGCTTAGACTGAGATACAAAAAGTTCAGAATACTTGAGAAGACTTCCAGTTTACTTGAAGAAACTACTTTTCGATGAATTTTTTAAGGAAGTTTCTTAAAAACAATCACTTTTCCACAGTTGTTTCTCAATAATACATTCTTCTGCAAGTTGTAAATATGGCTTTTGGTTTTGAAATGACAAAAACAATATGCAACTTGTTAAGTGGCAGATTTGAACCTTCAGGAGTAGATAGTTTGAAGCTGCTGATACACTTTGTGTTCTGTTTATTAGCTGAGTGTGCTGTGCCTTGTCAATCCTTTTTAGCAAAGTATGTTTTTTTTCTTAGAGTGAAGATACACAGCAACAAATCATCAGAGAAACTTTCCATTTAGTATCGAAACGTGATGAAAATGTCTGTAATTTTCTAGAAGGAGGACTGTAAGTATCAAGTTTGAAATAAATGCCCAATACTTACTGGTTTTCAAGTATTATTACTGCTGATTGTAATATAACTTTTTACAGCTTTAATGTAAATGCCATGTCACATTTTTTAATACACAAAGACTGATGCACCAGCTGTACATCTTCTTTAGTAACTGAAGCATAGATATGTGTATCCAAATGTGTTAGGCAATAAAACTACTCTTTTTCTAATGCTGTATGTAGTGCCATGGTTGTTTCAGACACAAAGATGGGGAAGGAACAAATAGATGATGTTTCCCTATAATCAAGTTAAAGATTTCTGGTCTCATTTTAAGAGGCATTGGCCTTTGCCATACCCACTGAGAAAATGAAAATATTTTGGATCTGGCGATTTGGCTTGAACTCCTAAAATTTGAGTGGACAGCCTCTGATAGTAGGGTTCCTTAGCCTTTTTATCTGTGTTTGGGCTTGCTGTATAAACCAGGAAGAAAAAAAAATAGGTTTTCTATGTGCTAAGCTAGGTTTTCTATGTACAATTTCAACCAAGACTTTTAATTCATATAGGAAAAGCAAGCTAGGAGGAAAGCCAGACTTATGTGTTCTGTCTCTAGAAGACAGATACAAAATATTCCGTCTTGAATTATCTAGGTGGTTTTTTGAAAGTGGTCTTGCTTTAGTTGAAGTGAAGAAATTCTGAAATGAAGATGTGTTTTATTTTGAGTTATTTATTAATCATCAAGAGTAAATAGTTTAAAAACCACCTTCTAGGAAAAGGGGTCTTAATTGGTGGAGACAGCTTATGATCTCCAGTGTGTGACAGACATTATCATAATTGTTAAATATTCTGTTTATGGAAATTTATGGTTACTGGAAGTTAGTCTGCTGATGCCTAGATTTTCTGTGTGCGGAGTCAGTTGGATGCTTAGCTGTAGCATGTCAGCTATGATATCTTTTTTCTTGATCAAGATGATTCTAGATTTTTTTAATCACTATATTTTAAATTGAAATTGTTCTTTCCTAACTATTCAATCATTGATATGGTGATTCTATCATTAGGTTCTTGGAGATGATTTCAAGTTGGAAACACGCTGGCTTGAATTCTGTAAGTGAAAGAAGCCATTTGGAGCTTTTTAAAAAATCATAGCTGCTCAACAAAAATAAACTAAGACAGAGAACACAGGTCTGGCTTTCCTCCTACTGCTCAATTCTAGGGTTACAATTTCAGTATATTTTTTCAGTTGTTTTTTTTTTCCTTTGGAGACAGGGATCACTTTATAGTTTGCAGTTTACCCAGAGGCTGCAACAGTTTATATGTAGAACTGTGTGTACTGAAGTATATGAAAGAATTGGGTAAATAAGTCATAAAAGAGGAAACTTTAATTGCCATTTCTTTCCACTTCCCTGTTTATTTGTAATATTTTTGTCGGATATGTAAACATAGTTTCTGCTCTTCAGGAATGAAGGGTTTCCCTTCCCTTCACTGCCCCCACTCCCACTCCCTGCCAAGCATTAATGTGCTTAAGCAAAATGATCTGTAAGATTTATTGCTCTTTTTATTTTATTTTTATTTATTTATTTGTATTCTTTCACTATAATAGAGACAGAAAGTAAAGGGATGAGTTATGGTACCGGTGATTCATTTCTGGTACAGAATTAAGGAATAATTACGATGTTCATGGCCATGTAGGTTCAGCCTAAAAATGTTTTCATTTCTATATGACCAGGCCTCATACAGCTCAAAACAAATGTCAGTGAACTGATGTAGATCTCCTATTTAAGTGCCTTTTTTTGGAAGGCTGTAGCAGAAGAGTGGAAGAACATACCTCTTAAGACCTCTTCTTGTTCAGTGACTTGACGATTAGTGAGTCCATAAAAACATAATCGTTTCTGTGGCTGTAACATTGCATCATAAAATATTGCTTGTAGTACAGTCATATTTCTTATGAAGCATTTTATAGTACAAGTGTTACATGTTCTTGGTTATTAAGTCGATCATAAACCCAATTTAAGGCTTTTTCTGTAATCCAAATGCCAATCTCCATTATAGTTTTCTTCTTCTGTTGATGCTCCTCTGAGAAGGGTAGGGAAAGATTCATAGGCATACACTCTGTTAATCTGTAAAGCAGATTAATCATTGGACAGTGCCTGCTAATGTGGAATGGAAGTCCATTTAATACGTGTTTATGATCTGCATGAATTGATTTTAATAAAAAGGTTCTTATATTTATGTTATCCATATGGGTAACAGTAACTGTGTTTGTGTGGTAAATGTAACTGTCTTTTGGAATTATATCACAAAATAAAAGTAGTTGTGATGTAGTTGGACTTGGGAATGGTCCAGGCTTTAACAATAGGACTTTTATTAACTGAAATAACTGTGAGGATTTGCCCAGCTTATCCTGAGATGCTAACTCAGCTTTCCTTTTTTTCTTTCCTGTTTAGATTAATAGGTGGATCTGATAACAAACTAATTTATCGACACTATGCCACCTTGTACTTTGTCTTCTGTGTGGATTCTTCAGAAAGTGAGCTGGGTATTTTAGACCTCATACAAGTAAGGTTTTTTGCTGCTTTGTGGTTTTGGGTTTTTTTTCTTAGTAGGTGGAATTCATCTTTGAAGTACATTAGAACTTAAATATTTAGCCATGCCTTTTTTTGTAATATTTGGAAGTGAAGGTCACTTTCACACTTAAACCATACCTGAAGTGCTCAGTATTACTTTTAGATTATTTGCAGATTTCTGGGCGTTGAAAAAGGTGTTTTCTAGGTTGATGAGAAAGTAAGAAAACTCTTTGGAACCTACTGAACACAATCAGGAGCTATTTATTACCTTAGCTTTTCAAGGCCTTGTTTTGGCTGCAGGTAAAAATGGTGCAGATCAAACATTTGCTAGACAAGTGAAGACTATGAGAACCTTGATACATAAAGCCCCATATGTATATGTGTTTATATATACACACTCAGAGACACACACACACACAGATAGATAGATATTCAATACAAATGTATAATGTAAATGTATAAATCCAAAACCTCTTTGGATGAAACTTTCCTTGTGGCTTATGAGCTTTTTGGCAGATACACCTTGGAAAGGGAGTGCAGATGATCCCCCAGGAGTGTGTTCTGCGCCGGGGGCTGGAAGTGGATAGTGGGGGTTGGTCAGGAAAAGAAGGCTCATACAGGTTCTTTCTGTATCTCAGTAAGAAAGGCTCAATGACACAAATGGCTTAATAACTGCTTAATAGAACAGAATAAGATGAATGTAGACAGTAAATCTTACACCCCTTCAGATGCTGGGAATTCTGTGCTCAGGTAGCACACACTGGAGCCCAGGTGGATTTTCCAACGGTGTGCTTTGCTGAGCAGATCCTGTGCATGGAGAGAAGCTCTTCCTTTTTTGGACCTTTGAACTATTATATAATTTTCTCCCAGGAAAACAACTCTTCCTAAAGGATTTTTTCAGGAGAACTTCTTGCTGCACTTTGAGGTACAGGCAAGGCCACTGAAGTGTCACGATCACTGGTACCAAGTGGGAGCTGCCTGCAGGCTCCTCTGTCACAGTGAACTGGCTGAGTTTATTCCTTAGCCAAGCAATTTGTGTATCACAGCACAGACCTGTGCCTATTCATGTTGTGTTATGTGTGTCACTAACTCCTAAATATGCAACAGTTTCTTGGTCAGGATCAATACATGCCACTCTTTGATCCGCTACAATTTATCATTCTGAAGGACATTATAGGTTATAGATTACATTAATAAAATACAGGCCCAGTAGAGCAGACAGGGCCTGTTCAACATCACTAGCTCCTCAAATACAATGTCTTCTGCAAAGTTCTCATATATGATTTAAACTGCTAAATATGTCTGTATCAGTAAGAAAAATTGTGTCTAGTAATATGAACGCTCTCAGGTCAAGAGAGCTCTGACTAAACCAGCGATTTTTCAACTTAAAACTTGCATGTAAACAATTTCAGTGATGATCGTTAGTCTACTCAGATGTGGCAAAAAATAGTTTCACAGCATGAAGTGATGTATGTCATTACATAAATAGGTCTCAGTTATATATGTGTATGATTCACTTACTGTTAAACCTTTCAAAAGCTTGCATATCAAGAGAATAGATTTATTACATTAGTAAAATCTGTGATATTCTGGGACATGGGCATGTATCTATTGATAATTTTACTGTTAGCCTCAAAGGCTAACACAATTTCCTCTGCAGACCTTTCTTGGAGCTGAATAGCTTCTCACAGTCACCTCTTAGTGTTCAGAACAGCTTTCCAGTGTTGCTCTTCTGGACAATAGATCCAGAAGGGTGCCTGTGTGGGTAGGGGGGAGGGAAACTTTTTCTGGATTCTTGTACCGTCTTTGGTCCTAGAAACATTCTGTGATGTCTGAAGTTACCAAGTAAAGTACTCAGTGGCGGTACCTGTTCCCAGCAGTTTGTTGTACAGAGTTGAACAGTGTGTCTTCTTTCTTGGAAGTGCAAAAATATCTATGAATATTGAAAAGAGACATGTTCATATATACATAATGTAGCCTAAATTGTACTTTTAGGTGTTGAAAGAAATTGCTTGCGCTTACTGCTGCCTATAGTTGCATGGCCCTCAAACTGTCTGAATAAGGGAGAATTTAAACTTTTCTCTAAACTGTGTTACTTATTGTGCCAAAAATATTTTGATAGATTTTAATCTTGTAGGCTTTGTATTTCACATTTTTTCCATAAATGCCCCAGTGTTTAATTACATGCCAGCATAATTGCCTACAGGATGAAATAAGAAAAATGCTATTTCTATTTGTATAAATACTTTATTTTTCTAACCTGCATGATTTTGTTTATAAATCATACAGTCTCACCGCAGTACCTGTAGCTGTTCAGTGTTCCTAAATCATGGTAATTCAACCATTCGATTATGGGGTAAAGTATGCAGAGATTAGTTAAACGTTTTCAATTTTCAGTCTGGCTCACAAGAAGGATCTGTTTAATCCTCTTAGCAATAGCAATCAGAATTAAATGTATCTTACACTGGAAAAATGCCTTCAGAAAGTTTATTATTACATCTCAACCCCATGTGCAATTCAGACTGGCAGTATATACACATACACATCCACTCAAGCAAATAAGCTTTGTTTGTTTTTTGTTGGGACATCTTTGTTTATTGTAGTTCAGAGACAACACAGGTAACACATCTGGACTTTTTTATGAATCATACATATAATGAATTGTTTAAATAAGTAGATATGTAGAGGACCAGTTTGTGATGGAAAATAAACTGGTGATATGGACCTAGAAATCAGTATAGCACTTAAGAGTTTTCTGTCTTGTAAACCAAATAAATCCATAGTAGATTGGACTACATATGTCAGTCTGCAGCTCTTTTCATCATGAAGTTGTAATTTTCATATAATTTCAATATTCAATAAAGTTGTAGTACTTAAGATGCTTCTGTGAAGGCCAGTTGTATCACCGTTAGGTCAGAGCTGTTTCACAGTTAAGTTGTCTTGACTTGGGCTTAGTGAATATGCTGTATACCTTACAAATCATAGACTGCCTCAGATTTGATACTATCAACATAGATATCTATGTTTGAACACATAAGGCAAATTCATGTTGTTATTTTTTGTCCATTTACTTTGGGTTTTTTTAATATAAACAGAATTTTCTTTTTATTGTTTTTTGCTTCGTTGCTTTGGGAGATAGGTCAGCATCTATGCTATGCTTGTTTTGCAGTTTTTTGGAGTCAGTGTAAATTATGTCATGAGTTGTAGCTTTTTCAGACTCTTTGTGTTAACCTGTGAAGTATAAGGTTTTAGTGCATGGAAATAAAATACATAAGAAAATATAACTAGCTGTAGACTGCCATGAGGAAAAACTGAGGGACATTTACTATTACATTTTTGCATTACGTTTTCCTAACTATCTTACGGACCCAAAAACTTATGTCAGCTCTAAGAATTTCTGAGTGTCTTGGCCCATTGCTGTACTTTGAAGACATAAGGCTGTGAAGACAAACAGCAGCATCTGTGAGATCAATCTTCTGTGAAAATTTCTGTAGAGTCTTGCACAATAATGTTGTTCAGTAAGATGCATGTGGGGAATGAAGTGCAATTCATGTAAGATGTTTTTCTCACTTCTTAAAGACAAAGCATCCTGACCAGATATGCTGCTTTTTGTGCTAGTTAAATAAAAAAGGGAGAGGCATATGACTGGGATGAGAACTCATCATGGGCAGATTGGATTAATTCTGTCCTCAAATTTGCCATTGCTGTTTAGCTGAGGAAGAAAGAGGGGATAATCTTGATATGATTCACCCCTGTTGTTTTTAGTTCATCCTTTGTACTTGCTTTTGATATTTGACATTTTCTATTCCCAGATACATTTAATTGATTAGATTTTCTGATTTTTCTGCTAGCCTTTTTATCTTCCCAATATTAATGTATTTTTTATTCCTTTGTTGTGTTACTTTTTATAAAAACAAGCCCTTTATTGTAAATGTGGTGGTTTATGTTTTGGCATATTGCCGAATAGAGAGAGCTCCTGGCTGGTATATATCCAATAACGATTTGGTGTTTTGTTGGTGTAGGGGTTTTCTTTTTTTTTTTCCTTTTTTTTTTTCTGTTTACTTACATGGAGATGTGCATGAGTTTTTCTTGAACTGTAAAAGATTATAGTTTCAAAAATGAAGCACAAGGGGGAGCTAATAATTCATTGTGCATGCATCATTATTTTCCTGCTATTTGACCCATTTATTTATGTTACCCTTCCAATAATATTACAAGGTGCATCTGAACTGATGTGTGTGGAGGTTATGTGTGTCCTAAAACAATTGATATGTTTTCTCTTCTGATTATTGATCTACAAGTCTGCAGCATCTGAAGTGATTACTAAAGTACTGAAATTCTATCACTGCTTGCCATAGCATGTGATTCATTTGACTCATCTAAAATTATGATGAAAGTGGCTCTAATTTTATTTACCATCTTGATAATTGAAGGCATCTTAAAATAGGCCAAGGATGTTAGTGTAAAAAAATCTATTTTACCTTACAGACTAACACTTTAAAAGACCAGTTATTCATAACAGATGTAAATGTTGTCACTGCTGGCATTACTCTGAACTCTCCATTTTGAATGGAAGATTGAGGGAGTTTCCAAAGTTTCCATGAGAAATCCTTAGCCAGTGAAAAATCTCTCTGAAGAATACTCAGTGCCAGCTGATTTCCTTGCTTAGATTAAAAAGTGTTTGTTGTGCATTACTGGTCATGCATTGCAAGCAGAAATCTGAGAGTTCATTCAGTATGTGATGGTGTTGCTATGTAATAGGTAAAGGTTTAAAAGTAGCCATTGTAACTATGAATCGAGTGTTGTTATAGAAGCCCTAGTTACTGGAAGAAGTTCACAAAAATAAAACTTTTGTGATGTTGATGCATGAGCATGCACGCTGCTACTAAATACAGGTATCTGTGGGGAGCTTTTTTTAGGACTTCTGAGTTGTTTTTGTTTTTAATATGTTCCTTTGTTTTCCAAGGAACTAGATAGATGTTGAAGTCAGAGTATGTGAATTCATGTGCAAACTTGGGGATATATATGAAGAATATTTTCTTTCAAAAATAGTGTCAAGCTGGTAGCTCTTGTAACTAAAACCATTGGACGAAGCATTTAATTTACACTCTGTTTCCATACTTCTTCTTGCAGCTAATATCAAACAGCACTGTCCTTGTAGTTGCAGTCTCCTAAGGTACAAGGAAAGTAAGAAAGCATCTTTGGTCATTTGTCTTGCTGCACACGGTTGTCCAATATGTAGTTGTTCTGCTTAACATATAAGTTTTTCTGTTTGCTCACATCCCTTCTTTATTGAAGATTGTTATTACCACAACAAATTAACAAATTTTTTAAGAAAAAAAAATCTGCTTTGCTTAGCTTCAGTATAATTTAACAGAAGCACATTCATTTACTTAGTTAACTTGTCAGCGAACGTTATTGTCTTGAGTCTGCTTCTGAATATGCTCCATGTTCCTAGTTTTAAATTACAGATTTGTATTTTGATATTAAATAATAGTCCTTTTTATAAATGCGTGTACTTTGACTTTAAAATGGACATTGATAATAGTAGTAATAGTAGCAGCAGGGTGTGATCCTCTTCTCTTTTACAGTATAAGCAGGATCTGAGAATCAGGGATTCAGATGTAGAAGTAATCTTTATGGATATGCAAGGTAGACAGCTGGGAATGGCTTATGTTATGTTAAGACCCATTTCACTGGGTCTGCAGACATAAATACATGTCTGTAGAAACAGGCCTTTATCCACAAAGAATGGTGTTGAATGGAGTTACATCCTACTGGCATCTGGTCACAAGTGGTGTTCCTCAGGGCTGAGTGATCTGGATGAGGGGATCGAGTGCTCTCTCAGCTGGTTTGCAGGTGACCCTGAGTTGGTTGGGAATGTTGATCTGCTGGAGGGTAGGAAGGCTCTTCAGAGGGATCTGGACAGGCTGGATTGATGGGCCAAGATCAAGTGCTGGATCCTGCCTTTGGACCACAACATTTCCCTGCAGCACCACAGACTGGGGGAAGAGTGGCTAGAAAGCTGCCTGGCAGAAAAGGACCAGGAAGTGCTGGCCCACAGCAGCTGACCATGAATCAGCAGTGTGCCCAGGTGGCCAAGAAGGCCAAAGGCTGGCTTGGGTCAGCAATGGTGTGGCCAGAGATCGTCCCCCTATACTTGGCACTGGTGAGCCCACACCTCGGAATCTTGTGTTCAGTTTTGGCCTCTCACCACAAGGAAGTCATTGAGGTGCTGGAGCAAGTCCAGAGAAAGGCAATGGAAATGACAAAGGGTCTGGACTTCAAGTCTTATGAGGAGTTGCTGAGGGAGGTGGGTGTGTTTAGCATGGAAAAAAAGAGGATTGGGGAGATCTTATTACTCTAGAACTCTAGAACTACATGAAACATGAAACAGAGAGGTCTGTGTCTTCTCCCAAGGAAGAAGTGATAGGACAAGAGGAAACGACCTCAAATAGTGCCAGGGGAGGTTTAGGTCAGGTATTAGGAAAAATTTCTTCTCTGAAGGGGTGGTCAGGCATGGAAGTGGGCTACTCAGGGAAGTGATGGAGTCACTATTCCTGGAAGTGTTCAAAAAACATTTAGAGGTGGTGCTTAGGGACATGGTTTAGAGCTGGATTTGGCAGTGCTCGATTAACTGTTTGACTGATTTATCTTAGAGGTTGTTTCCAACCTAAATGAATTTGTGATCTATGTCAGAACATGGCTTCTCATTCCTATTTCTCTGGGCCTAGGCAGTTTGAGATCTGGTTCATCTCAAATACTAAGATGGGATTAATAAATCATGTTGAATAAAGAATCAAAATTAGGTGTTTATCTTCCATATTGCTGCTTTAGGGTTTGAGTTTAGAATTGAAAAAACCCCCCTGCATACAGTGACAGCTTAATAAATAATATTAAATGCTTATTGTGAGAAAATGGTTCTGAAACATATAAAACTGAGATTAAAATCTCCAACAAGTTGCAACTTGTCTATTTGTCATTAATAAATGGTCAATAAATTCTTACAGAAATTCTTTTTAACTTCGAAGGCCCTAAGCTCTCACTCAAACTTAGAGAGGGTTAACACATCTATGTCTGTAGGAGTTATCCCATGCATAAAGGGAACTGTGCTTATACCTGCCTAAGACTGGAGTCTTTGTCAGCACTCACCACAAGCACATGGTGATTGTCATTCCAGAGCTTCAGGAATGCATGTACAATCATCATTTCATTATCTGGCCTAATTGGATACTGTGGTGCTCTTGGTGTCAAAACAGGCAAACATGAGTACCAGGGAACCTGTTACAGGAATATCCAGAGCAGGGTAGTGTACAGTCCATATCTGGCAGGGAACATCAGTGGCTGGAGTTCAGCAGCTGCTCTGATTTTTCTGCTTTGTCCTCTTATATTATAGATTCAAGGAGGGGTTATAAACTGCTAGACTTTTCTCAATTTGTGCCTGACAGGATCAGCAGATGTGACATAAAGACAGCTGCCTTTTTCCTTGGTCCACCCTGAATTCAATGGGTCTAAGTCAAGTGAAAGCTGCTGTACTGCTGGAAGCAGTAATGTTGACAAACTTGCATGATGCTGACAGTTTGCATTGCACATGCCTGTGTAGCAAAAGTTAGCAGTAGTCTGGTTAACTGGGAGATGCCTACAAGGTAATAATTGCTAAAAATAGTAACAGTAATAGAAAAGCTGATTTTTTTTTTTTTTGCTTAATAGTTGGGTTCTAGTGAAAACGGAAGGGATGCTTTGAATCACAGCTGAGAAAATTGTAGCATAGGTGATGTTACTGTTTTTTCAAGATGTAACTTTTTTAAAACTGGATGAGTTTTAGCAAAGTATTAACATAAACTGACTTGTGTGTACAGTTGTGACCTCTACATAGATAACATCCTGTTGACATAATAATGTTAACCACATAATTTCTGTAGATGCTTTTAACGCCTTAAAATCTGACCTTTGTTTAATTTCTGTATTTGCTTTTCTCAAACCTCACACTTAATGAAACTATTGAGTTTTTGCTAAAGCTTGACCTCTGGCTTTTTTTTTCTCATTGCAGGTATTTGTGGAAACACTAGACAAATGTTTTGAAAATGTCTGTGAACTGGATTTAATTTTCCATGTAGACAAGGTACTGTGATGACCTCCTGTAATAGTTTTGTCAAGTAAAACGTTTGGTTCGGCTGATACTTGGTGTGAAACTCTGCAGTGATTCTACTTTCCTGAGATATCAGTGAGGCTGGTGAAGGGTCTAGAGAGTAAGTTTTATGAGGAACAGCTGAGGAAGGTGGGGTTTAGCCTGGAGAAAAGGAGGCCTGGCGGGACCTCATTGCTGTTTACTACTACCTGAAAGGAGCTTGTAGCAAGGTGGGTGTCAGCCTCTTCTCCCAGGCAGCAAGTGACAGGACAAGAGGAAATGGCTTCAAGCTGTTGCAGGAGAGATGTAGGGTGGACATGAGGAAGAATTTCTTCATTGAAAGGGTAGTCAAGCATTGGAATGGGCTACCTGGGGAAGTGGTGCAGTCACCATGCCTGGAGGTGTTCATGAAACAACTGGATGTGGTACTTCATGCTGTGGTTTATTTGACATGGTGGTGGTCTATCAAAGGTTGGACTCAATGGTCTTGGAGGTCTTTTCCAACCTTAATGATTCTGTGATTTATTTGTCAGTGAAATCTAGACAATTTCTGTTAAAATATTATTTTTATTGTTTGAAAGCTGCAGTGGAACCAGTGGAACATGTCTTTCTGAGGAACAATAAAATAATGTGGGAGATTTGCATAATAATATTGCACATGAAGTTGTAAAATCCAAGACATCTGAATATTCTTAGAGTAGGATTAGTTTCAAGAAATAATGTATTCTATTTTGTTTATGGTTAGGTATTGCATAATGCAGAACGGAAGTTATTACAGGTCTTCCAGTTAAGGTTGGGACTTGCCTTTCTTATGCTATGATTATGTAGCTTAAATGCTGTGTGGATCTTTCTGTTCCAAATCTCAAACAGACTTTATGTCTTTGTTTCTAAATATTTGAAAAATCTTGTTTGAATGTTCCCATCTATAAGGAATAAGTGTTTTATTTATTAATCTAGTTTTGAGAAATGCTGTTACTATAGTAATCTCTCATTTAAAAGGAATTTGACATCTCTTGGTGTAATATCTAAAATGCTGAGAATGGAATATATAGTATTTATTCCTTCAGTTGCTTTTTGTGCCTACCATTGCTTTCAGTGCATTCACCTTTCCCCATCTGTGAACATCTTTTTGCATCAACAGCAAAAGATGCCAATGAAAATTAGGATAGAAAAAGTAGAATAAAAATCGTATCAAATCAAATGTCTGAAATGACCATCTCAAACTGACTCAGTTTGTTTCAAAATCAGAAACTCCTTTTGGAAGAAACACTTGTACCTTGACCAGACAGAGAAATGCATGTGACCTTCAATTAGTGTTTGAACTGATACATCGCTAATGAAAAGTCATTAGGATTTCTAGTCTGGTTGGAACATGTTGGATATTTCCAAAATGGCAAATTAAAATACAAAACAATTTATTAGTGGCTTATATATGTGAGCCTTGGAGGTTAAAGAAGAAAAATACTGCAGTCGTTTTGTGGGGAAGAGTTTGGCCTTTAGCTGAAGGATGCTTTGGTTGATACGTACTCCAAACTGTTGCTTTGTAACATGTTTCATTCAGGAGTATTTCTTAACACAGTAATCTTTTACATTTTAGAGAAGAAACATATTTCTAATAAAATGTAGAGAACTTAGGTGCTTCAAAATATTAAATTTCTTGAAGAATATTTTACTTTCTGTTGGGTTTGAGATGATATTTCCTTCTTGAAATTTGTTTGTCTAATGGAAGAATTTTAACATTTTCATTTTACTAAAAATTTGATTTACTAAAAATCTAAAAATCTGCCTGAGGATCCTATTAAATGTTTAGACTAGAATTTTCAAGCTTTGAGAAAAATGTGAACCCTAAATACTAGTTAGATATTTTAGTCAAAGTAATCCAATTCCACAACAAAGGATCAGTGAAACCTTGAGTTAAAAAAATTTTGAGCATCACATTAACCAGGACAGTGATTTTTTACTTGATCATAGATCAACAAAAGAATACTGTACTGAATACAGTGAAAAATAAAGAGAGCTGAACATCTGTTGTAAGGCAAGGCTGCTACCAGCTGTACAGTAGCATTAGTTGTGCGGTTGTAACTAATCTGATGTCGTCTCTATGCTTTCTTTTTTTCCTCTAGTTTAAGTTCATCAGTATTCTTGTAGGTCTGAGAACAAAACAGGAAGATGTATGTGTGAGAATGAAATTATAGTATTAAATTTTCTTTGAACTGCTGAAGCAGTCAAGAAGCAAAATGCATTGAGCCTTCTGAGTTACAACACATTAACTTTCTCTCATCAAATATTTGTGGCCTAGTGTGAATGTATTGCAAGTGTGCAAAGGGGGGAAACAGCAAATGCTGCTGCATGTTTGGTCTGGACAGAATCTTACTTGTAATGGAGTAATGTGGGAGCTTTTTGGGGTGAAACCTTTCAAATCTTTGTGTTTTGCGTTGTCTGGTGTTGAGAAAAGTGAGGATTGGATTTGGAACTGATTTGGAAAAGAACTGATTTAGGTAAGAATTTTTCTGTGTTTTCAGTTCTTGATGGAGCTGTAGAAGGTGGCTTTCTTGCAGTTCTCTTGCTAGAGCTGCCTAAACACCAAGGAATACCTTTCCTGTAAAAAAATGACGTGGCATGTGAAAGAGTTAAACTATGTAATCTCAACAGCTGTTGCCTCTCTAGTAGCGTTTTATTTGGTATTTCTGTAAGGAAACATTTATGTTCGTCAGGCCTTTATCGTTGTACAGGATCCAGTGATGGCTTGTAGTAAACTGGGGTCAAGAGAGATGCTTATGCAAGGAATATTGGTATAGTACTAGAAGTTCATCTGAACAGTGGAATATAGGTGGGAATGAAATAGTGTTTCTAATGTGCTAAAGCAAAGGAGGATTTGGGGTGTTGGGGAGTGTAGTTTGTACATAGAAACAATTTGGATTCTCTTTAAAAATCATCTGTATTACAAGGAAACAAACAAACTTGCCATAGCTGGAGCAAGGCATTTTCCAGAAGAGGAGGAGATTTATTTCAGTCCTGTACTGATTCCTACACTGAGTCCAGGAGTGTAATGCATTCTGATGGAAAAGGCATCATAGAAAGCTATCCTAAGAATATTTTACAACTAAAATAATAGAATACATTCAGTTGGGATGTAAGGAAATACTTTTATTTTTCCACAAGTTTTTTGGCATCTATTGAAATATCCCTGGGAGTATCGTGATCTCTTCCAAGAGTTTATTATCTGACCAGAACAGTCAACCCAGAGAATCAAATTGCTTGAAGACAAGAAAATATGTTTGCTAAATTTTCCTGGGAGAGTTTTTTCTTGATGCATTCCTTCCCCCTGTTTGCTAGAATATGTGTTTATGGTTTTAGAGAATACATGGAACGTAAGTAGGAAGTTCTCTTGATTTTTGTAAAAACACCTCAAAATTTTTGTTACAAAAGAGCAATTTCAGATTTTGAAAAGTTGATGTTCTCAACTGTCAGATCTCTTTTGTAATATGAGGTCTGTTCCTTGTGCCTTCAGTTTTTCACTTAAACACTGTTTGGAATAAACTACTGAAGTGTATTTTGCACTTCATTGTCACTTAATGCTTTTTTAGTTCAGATTTTTTTGTTTGGGAAAATGATTAGTGATTTTTTTCAATAAGAAAAAGGAAAGTAATGTGTATTTGCTAATTATGTCTTTACAATGAAAAAACCAGTTAATATTAAAAATTTTTGTATTGCTGCTGCTCATATATGGGCAAACTTGTGTATTTAAGAGAAGGGAGTCAAAGGATTACAATAGTCACATAACATTATTGGTCATAGCTGTGATATACAGATTAACAAATAAAATTAATGATATACTGTTATTTAGAAAACATTCTTCTCCCTTTAAAAGAAAAATGGGGCAATACAAAGAAAATGGTTAAGCTTCTTTAAAGCAATCCATGCTTTAAACATTTTTAAATGCTATGTGTTAATCTTCAATATTGCATACTAAAAGTGGGAAAAAATACAGAGAAAGTGTGATCCAAAGTATAGAAGAGTTTGCATGGAGGAAAAAGTTAAATATTCAAGATATTGGAGGCAGAGAAGCAAGAAGTATTTAGAAAAAAGGTGTTGGAAAGCCAGAACAAGCCTGAAGAAAATGAACAACTGTGTCAGAAATAAAGAGCAGTGGGATATCAGATAAAATCTCAGGAAGTTTGAAACAAAGAAAATGGTTTTTTGTGGTTGATAACTAAATTATAGAATGTCACTTCGATTTTATCATAGATACCAAGAATATTTTAAGTAGGTTCAAAGGTAATTAGATATGTTAACCAAAGGAAAAAATTCTAACTGCAGCTCTAAAATGCAATACTATACCAAGAAGCAGCAAGCAGTCTGTGTTTCAGAAATCCTTAAGTTGGAGATATTTGTAAGCAGAGAATTTGTATCAGGATAAGTACTACTGTTAAGATTTTTTTTAAGTCTCCACTGGTGAATCACTGAAAATAGATAATAAACTAGAATAAAGTTTTTTAAGTATGCATAATCATAGAATCATAGAATGGTTTAGGTTGGAATGGACCTTTAAGATCCAATAGTTCCAACCCCCCTGCCATGGACAGGGACACCTTCCGCTAGATCAAGTTGCTCAAATCCGCACACACAAATCTGAACACTTCCAGAGCTGGGGCACCCACAACTTCTCTGAGCAACCTGTGCCAGTGCCTCACCATCTTCACGGTAAAGAATTTTCTCCAGATATCCTATCTGCCTTCTCTTGGCTAAAAGCCCTTCCCCCTTGTCCTATTGCTATATATTCTGTGAAAAGTCCTTCTTCAGCTTTTTTGTGGGACTCCTCTAGGTACTGGAAGTCTTCAGGAAGTTCTCCCTAGAGCCTTCTCTTCTCCAGGCTGAACAACTCTCAGCCTTTCCTCATAGCAGAGGTCTTCCAGCCCTCTGATCATCATTGTGACTCTTCTCGACTTGTTCCAACAGGTCTGCATCTTTCTTGTCCTGGGGACCCCAGAGCTGGATGCAGTATTCAACTGAGGTCTCACAAGAACAGAGTAGAGGGTCAGAATCACTTCTGTTGACCTGCTGGCCACGCTGCTTTTGACGCAGCCCAGGGTGGGGTTGATTTTCTGGACTGCAAATGCACATTGCTGGCTAATGTTGAGCTTCTCATCCACCAACACTCCCAAGTCCTTGTCCCCAGGGCTGTTCTTGGTCCATTCTCTGCCCAGACTGTACTTCTGCTCAGGACTGCCGAGACCCAGGTGCAGGATGTTGTACTTGGCCTTGTTGAACTTCATGAGGTTCACTCAGACCCACCTCTCAGGCCTGTCCAGGTCCCTCCAGTGTCATCCCTTCCCTCCACTGTGTTGATTGCACCACACAGCCTTGTGTCATCAGTGAACTTGCTGAGGGTGCACTCCATTCCACTGCTCATGTCACTGACAAAGATATTTAGCAGCACCATCCCAAGGTTCCCTGAGGAAGCCTCTCATCAATGGTCTCCACTTGGACATGGAGCTGCTGCAACTCTCTGAGTATGAGCTTCCAGTTTTTTCCATATCCATCGAGTGGTCCAGATGTCAAATCTGTGTCTCTCTGGTGTAAAGACAAGGATGTTGTGTGGGACAGTGTCAAATGCCTTGCACAAGTCCAGGTAGATGAGGTCAGTCACTCTTTCTTCATCCACAGTCTCTGTAATCCTGTCATAGAAGGCCACCAAATTTGTCAGGCATGATTTGTCATCAGTGAAACCTGTCACTTTTTTTGTATTTTCTGTGAGCCTCAGCATAGTTTTCAGGAGGATCAGCTCCATGGTTTTGCCAGGCACTGAGGTAAGACTGAGTGGCCTGTAGTTCCCTAGATCTTCCTTACTTCCCTTCTTAAAAATGGAGGTTAAGTTTCCCGTTTTTCAGTTGGTGGCAAGTTCACTGGACTGCCATGACTTCTCAAATATGATGGATAGTGTCTTAGCCAGTTCCCTCAGGACCCGTTGATGTATCTTGTCAGGTCCCATGGACTTCTGCACCTTCAGTTTCCTTAAATGCTCTTGAACTTGATCTTCTCCTACAGCGTGCAGTTCTTCATTCTTCTGGTCCCTGCTTCCACCTTCTGCAACTTGAGTGGTGTGGCTTGACTATTGGCTGGTGAAGACTGAGGCAAAAAAGTCATTTACATCCTGGCTAACTAGGTCTTCTATATCCTTCCTGAGAGGACCCACATTTTCCCTAGTCTGTCTTTTATCACCAGTGTATCTACAGAAGCTTTTTTTGTTAACCTTGATTTTGTTGGTCAGATTTACTTCTGTCAGTGCTTTGGCTTTCCTAACCAAGCATAATTTCATCATTTCAAAGCATAATTAGAAATTTCAGTTTTCATTTTTTAAAGCAACTTGGATGATGGAAAGGCAAATGTTATGGTGTACATCTTCTGGAATATGAAAGACAGAATGTGAAATATCAGAAGAACTGCTAGGTGGCAATGTTTCTTTATGACTAAGAAGATTAAGGAAGGTATTTTCTTAATGTTTGGTAGAGAAATACTAAGATTTCCTCTGTGGATGAGTGTGCTTTAGGAAAAAAAATTATATTCCTGCTGTTGTTTTCATGTAGTATTTGTAAATCTGCATATGCAGTCTCAATTATAAGCAAATTTATTTGTGAGAAGCTGTATTCAGAATTGTATTTGTTTTCCTTCTTCACTGCATCCATCATAATAAGGATAACGTCAGTAACTGCTGAGGGCTCAATGTTGTCAACAGTATGCTGCAGTTTTGTATAGTTATGGCATCAGTGCTACAGCTGGCTGGAAGCCTGAAGTTTGCCTTCTACTCCTTTTTTATCTGCAGAGAGTGCTCCCATATCAGTTCCTTCTTAATCTGTAGTTTACTGGCATGTTGCAGACTTCTTTCAGAGTTTACACTAAGGGGAACTGATGCCTTGGTGAGATGCTTATTTGAGCCTGTAAATCCCATTCTTTCTCTTGGTTGTCAAGAAGTGGTTGCCTTGATCTGTTGTTGCAGTTGGGCTGCAACCTTACTTTTATTGTCTGTGGTCTGTGTGCTCAAGAAGCCTCTTTTTTTTATTATTACAGTTCACATTTTTAATTCTTAGAATCGTGGAATAGTTTACACTGAAAGGGACCTCTGAAGGCCATATAATCTAGTTCTTATTGCTTAAGCTTGACTGCTTCTTGAGTTTATGTGTGCCTTCTCATAGTACAAAATTCATCGGATAGGTTACATCATAGAGTTGTTCTCTGAACCATCATGCATAATGTGTACTTACTGTAGAGACCTTGTACCAAACTTTCTGACCATCATGAGTGGTAGAGGTGTGTTGTCTTCTAAATGCCATTAGTGGTTATCATTAACTTTTTGGTTAATGAAAAAACCCATGCCTTTTTTCATGTATATATTTTATAATAGTTCCCATATTTGAACATACCCATTTCATTAATATCCTCAGCTGGTTTATGTGGTCCTTCAGTTCAAGGTCTAGCTGTCAGTCTTAGTCCTAGATGCTGAAGTCTCCATATTTCTGGTGTAGCTCAGGAATGCCAGTTCTACTTCCAAGACTAATCTTGGTACCCATGGTGGGTGAACATCGTCTCTCTTCCTTTGCAGGTGTAGCCTGAAGTAGTTTTTACACCTCTATTTGTGAGTAATTAATTTAATCTCATAGAACCTGCTCCCTAGGAGTATTACTGCTATTGATGCTATTTAGAATTTATGTCCATAATCATTGGATAGAAAACAGGAACTGAAAGAAAGAGGAATGTGAAGGTTTCTTCTGGCGTTGATAAGTGAAATGGTGTAGAAGATGAGTTCGTAACAGAGATATGAGCAAAGAAGGTACCGGAGAAAAGGAAAATTAAGTTGTGAGCTTTGTTCCCAAATGGTTTTAAATTAATTGCTAACATTAATTAAGTGATTTACAGAATATATGTTTTCCTGCATTGAGGAGTCTGAATAACATCTCTCCAGATTGCATGTAGGACATCTTGCATTTTTAAATTCTCTTTTTGTCTCTTTTAGGTCCATAATATATTGGCCGAAATGGTCATGGGTGGAATGGTTTTGGAGACCAACATGAATGAAATTGTCACTCAGATTGATGCTCAAAATAAACTGGAAAAATCTGAGGTAAGAGTGATGCACTGTGTAGTTTGTAAACTGTAAACGTGGTCGTAGTAAGTGCATGCTATATAATGCTATTTGTCCTTCACTAGCAAACTACGTAGTATAAACTCCTTGCTTATAATGCCAGAAATTTACGAAGTATCTGAGGATGTTGTACCTTTCATCATAAGTAATAATTGCTTAGACTCACTGCTGATTAGTTTTTGCTATTTGTATCTAATAGCATTGTGTGCCATTGCTGTTGAGATACTTCTGTAGTTGTCTTGCAGAAACCCTTTTATTTCCAGCATGTTTACTGTGCTGGACTACTGACTCTAGCAAAATAAAATTAGATAAAGAAACAAGATCTATTAAGTGTCTACAAAGACTACTGTCTGCTAGTATGTTTTGAGCACCTGAAATAAATGACAGCAGTAATAGTGCAACACAAAAGTAAATCAGGCCGAAATGGACTAGATAAAATTTAAAGCCCAGTTTTAGACCCTTTAAATTAAATATGAATTCTGCAGTTTTGGCAGTCTGAACCTTTGGTGTTCAGTGAGTGAGAAAATTATATTCTCTATGTGCCTATAATGGTCTGAGTGAGGGAGCTCACGTAAGTTGTGGGAATCCCTTTTCAATTCAAAAATTGTTGAACTTGTGTTTAGGAAAGACACTTAGATTAAGAAAGGATTTTAGAATGACTTTAATTATGACACAGAATATTATTGTTCCTTTAACGTCACCAGACGTGCCTTGTAAGCCAAAATACTGCTAGTACATCTTAGCTAAGTCTTGTGTTTGATTCTTATTGATGAGAGTAATTCCACAGAAGAACACATCATCAGATTTTCAAAGCATAATATTAAAATCTCTCAAAAAACCTTTGCTTGAATTGGAAACTATTTCTAAAGTTGAAGTCAGCTCAGTAGACTGAAATTTTGCAGGTGGCATAAATATGAACTAAATGACATTTTAGGAGATGACCCAGAGAACTTCCTAGTTTTAACTGAAATGCAGCAGAGAAATGAATTCTTCACCTTTTTTTCTGGTACTGTGTATACTGTTCTCCTAATTCTGCAGTCTCACACTGCGCCACCTGAAGTTTTTTTCATACAATTAATTGTCTGTTTTGCACAACTTCCAAATTGTATCCAAGAACAGAACAACGATACGTGAAAAACAAGAAAAAGCTAGGTATGATATGATATAGTATGTAGCAATATGCATCTGGAAGGACTGCATTGTAGATTTTTGAAGATGTCCAAAATGTTCATTTTAATATTTTTCTCAAATTTGGAGTTATTCTCATAAATTTTTACTATATTTGAGTAACTTCTGTATACATTTTTTTTTTATTTGGTGGAAAAGTAGCATAGTGTTCCCAAAAGCTGAACTCACTGAGCAGCTATGTCCTACCATGTATTATGTACATATTGGTTTTACCTGAAAGCACTTAATTATGTGAATTCTGTTACCAAATCAATTGTAGCCCAATCTCTGACTGGTCATCTGAAACACATCAGTTCAGTGCAGCCAGCTGCAATACTTTGCTATTTACTATTATTCATCAGTAAGTCATTCTTTCTTTTAAGATACTTTTAGTATAAAAATAGGTGGTACAAGATATAAAAAAACCATCTTCAACTCGGAATGTATACAAAGCAAATAGCAACTTGTTCTTTTACGGTCAGCAATGAATTATAGAAGGTAAAGAAGTAGCAGTGATAAATTTAAACACTTGGTGACTGGGATGGAGTAGAACATTTCACAGGCTGCTCACAACAAATACTTTTTTTTTCTTAGTTCAGTGACTGTTTCTTTTCAAATTTAACAGTTACTGTAATGCTGAGATACATCACAATACCTGGTAACTATTTCTTCAGATCATTAATCATTTGTTTCATGTGTATCCACAGAAATTTCCTGATTGCTATTTCTTTTCCTTTTGTCTTTTTGATCAAGATAGTAAATCTTCCAGTATGTCTTTCCTGAACACAGATTTTCAAGATACAAGTAAATCCATGTAAATCAAACTCAGTAATAACTTAATAAATTTTGAATGCTGGTCACTAAGAAATCAAAACTAGTGGATCTTCTTAGTTTTCTTTAATTTAAAAAAATAGATTATTTTTAAAATTTAGAAATTATTGATGTAGTCTGTAGTTTATAGGAGTGCCTCCTGTGCCACAGAACTGTCGCTTTAGTCTCTTTGGCTTTTAGACCTCCATCATAGTTCTTGCATTCATAAAGCAGCTACTTTAAGGGTAAATTGCCTTTTCTTTTATAGCTGAAGTAATGAAACTAATAAAGTTGTAACTGAGTTGCATTTTAAGAAATATCTCGGTTTTTATTGTGCCCACCTGGCTTCCAGTAATATACAAAATTTAGCCATTTGACATTTGGTGTTTGTTTAGTTATGCACTAGATTTCTAATTAGGCTTTCAGTTAGAATTTAGTGAAGAAGATTGAATGTATGTAATAAATTCAAAGTTATCAGCTCAAAGAATTTGTTAATACTTTCAACAGAGATTAATTATTTAAACCACTATAAGGGAGTCCCTAGCTTTGATTTGTGATTCAGCTCTTATGTTGCTTGGATGGGCTACAAAGGAAACTATTTCTACCCTGAGAAATGTTGTCTTAATTGCATTTCCCTACCTTTCAGTTTAGTGTTTATCTTTGAATGGGTTTCTGGTCAATCCTTCTAGAACCAAAGGATTGTTGTGTAAAGGGAGGGAATATTTTGGGAGAGGGGTCATTGGGATTTTATTCAGAGCCTCTGGAAGTATTGTAGGTAAACCTGGGCTACCTCTTCTCTATTTGGAGTATTCAACTGCGTGTGATTTAGACTTTTAAGTTGGGCCTCATTTTTTCCGAACCTCCTGATCTTTTCTAGCTCTTTCCATTCTTCTCTCTTACAGACCTTTATCTTTCAGTCTCCCAGACAGGACAGGTAGACAAAGGTATTGCTGACTTTTAGAAAAAATGTACTTTTAACAAAAAGGGAAAGCAAAATGATGTCAAAGGCAATAAATTATGTAGGCCAGACTCAAAAATTATGTGTAAAAATACCCATACTAGTCCTTGTAGCCTACTTTTTGTGCTAGTTTCTTGTAGTTCCCTCATCTTTTTATTGGCTATAGTGTATTTTACTAGCTTTCCATTGACATCATATTTTTTATTTTATTTCTCTTCCTGCATTTTAGAATTTAACTTTTCTTTGTATCATTGTTTAAGAAACAAGGGAGTATGAACTTATGTGAATAAAAACCCTGCAAAATTAATCTCAATAAAAATTGAACACACAAATAACAAAATTATGATACGATGACATAGCTTTGTCATTGGCACAGTCTTGCCACTGATAATCTAAAATAAGCAATGTGAACTCTTTTGCTTAACCGTTTAGTATTTCCAAGTGAAAACAAAGAACTTTTACCTGCTTGCAAAGAGAAGTTTCAGAATAAGCTTCAGGTGAAGGAAACATTAACCCCCACCTCCCCAAAACCAACAAACCCAATAGTTTTACACATAGAGAATAAAATTATCAGTGCAATTTGTAAAGATGACGTAGACATACCAAAGTTGATTATCCAACCTTAAGTATATCAAACATAAAATGAGAATGGCCGTCAGCATGTATTCAACTTCAGATGTACATTTGCTGTTGTTATAATCTGAATCACTGGATTTTGCTCCAAGATATCTTGGTAACTGTAGTCACTGAACATGAATATTAACAAGGAACAGAAAAAGGAGGAAAATGTATGTTTGAAGTTCAGTTTATGGTCATTGTCACTTGTCATTTGTTCTTTGAAACATTGAGTTCAAAGTTTGAATGTCAGTCAGTGTTAATGGCAGTACTTCAAAATTAATTTCCACTCATTTTAAGTATATGTGTATTCAAACTGCAGGTATTTTAAATAGGTGGAATCTTAAGCAGATGAAGTTTATGTAATTTATGAATAGCTTTGCTCTTTACTTTTTATGTGATCTTTTTAGGATAAAGTACTGTAATACCTTTAAAATTCAACAAATATAATTCTGTAATTGGATTTAGTGGCACTGAGTTGTAAAAGCATTAATTAAAAGTAGTTATGGGTAGTATGCTACAGCACAATTTTAAAGTATGCTACAGCACGTGAAGAAAATCAGGCACGTGATCTTCCTTTGCCTAATACATCAACACTTCTAACATATAGTCTGTATTTCATTGGTAACACTAGGGAACTTGATTCCAAGATTTTGGTTTGGTTTCTTTTTTGGTTTGTTTTTTTTTCTTTGTGCAAAGCTACTTTTCTTTTTCTGTGTTTTGCTCACACATATTCTGGTTTTATTTTTGGGTCTGGCAATGAAAAACAAACAAAGAAATAATTAATCATTCCCATCCATTACTCTTTTTGTGATTCAAGTGCTTAAAATTTCTAAGAGTATGTCTTAAGTCTTCTTATCTGTTTGGCCTCATTTTGATATACTTGCAGACTTCATTTTGGTTTTTCTCTAATTATGTTCATTTATTTAACCTCATAAGCAGGGGACATGATCATTCCTTTATATTATGTATTGCATCCTTTCATGATTTCATAACCCTGCTGCTTTGAAGTCATACGTGTTCTGAAAAGAAGCATTACTCTGAAGCATCAGCAGCAGAGAGGTCCTGGTACCTCCAAAATATCTGGAAAAGGGTGGCTTGTTTTGCAAAGTGTTAGCCTTCATTATTTTGTTTTCCAGTAGGCTGTGTATTCTTATATATTAGTGATAGCTAGCTTTGTGTAGAGTTATTTGGAATGACAGTTTGAATATTTTTTTTAATTTGTATGTGCATATTAACAGTGTTTGTGATGTGCAATACTTTTCCCAAATGACCTGAATTTCTTTTTAAAGAGTAAAACAAGGTTGCTGGGTTCACTTTTATATGAAGTTATCTGTGGGACATTATGAGAAAGGGTGATAATAAGAACAAAGAAAATTGATTCCCATAGTGATTAACAATGAACTAAGTAAATTAATGACAGCTCATATTTCTCACTTAATAGTCCAGGGCCAGTATAGTAAAAGTTCTGTTATTAAATATGTCTGTTTCAGCCTATAAAGTAGCATCCTTTTTTTGCATATATGGTATTGCTTTTTCACTTTAAAAGTGTATGAACATGTTTTACAAACGTTTTTTGCAATAATGGAACTTGACATTTTAACATGCAGCATTTCAACATAAAAGCACAACCTTCACTAACAAATTAAATTGAGAGTACAAAGCAGCTGCAGCGAAAATGTGATGTATTGGCTTATTGTAATACCAGCTGTATGCAATTTGTTTTGTATTTCTGAAATTTCATTAATATGTGTTAAGAAGTTTCATTTTCACTTGCTTCAGTCATTTGCTTGCTGTGACAGACAATTCATCATTCACTGCATGTTTAAAGCTTGCTATGTGTTTTGGTTTTATTCAAGTGAAACAGATTTTTTTCTTTACACCTTACCAACTTACCTGCTGAATTATGTGTTAAGAAAGACAGTTGAAGCTTGTTGAGTTCAATGTTAACAGTGATGGCTCTTTTAATCAGGTACCTCTAGAAAACTCTTAAAAGGCACAGAGGGCTGGAAGTACTTCTTGTAGTACACTTGTGTTTGTAAACACAGTTCACTTTGTGTACAAGAAATGATAAGTAAATGGAAGGACTGCATACTAGTTCACTGTTAGACAGGCTAAAAAGGAATGCTAAGGAGTTCAGATAAAGTAGCATTTGAATTGTATTAGTTATCCAGCTTGGGAGTGCAAGTACTTTTCAGTCTTTTTATCCATTAGACATTTTTTATGAACTGTTTGCTCTCTCTTAGAAATACTGTATTGTGTTTGACAGGGTTGTATTAATTGTGCTAAATAGCATTCTGCTGTGCATATTATATATACACTGTTCTACATACTCACTTAATACAGAGAAATACAAGAGAAGAGAATGTAATAGTTTGACAATCTTTACTCCAGCATATGATAGTGAAAGACAATCTCGCTGTCAAAGAAAGAGGTAATCTGACACTTGTAGCAGATTTGTCAGGGATCTACACTGATCCTCTTCCAGAATGGTCCTCATGAAAAATGACTATTGGACTGTATAGGGGGGTGGAAGGGCAGTGGTCATGTCAATTGTGGTATTTTAAATAATTCTGAATTGTGTCTCCATTGTATCCTATGCCATTGGGGCGGGAGGCAGGGACTGTAAGTCTGTATAAAGAGGATAGCTGCAGGTAGGTAAAAATGATGACCAGTTATACTAAAACTGTTATTTGTCTATGAAGAATAAATAACTTTCATTAAATTAGGGTAAGGAATCTCCATCCTAGTCACCCAGAAGGCATCTCTCTTTTGAGTTGCCAGCCGTGCCTGTTTGTGTGGACCATGTCCATCACTTAACGAAATTTTTCAGATTTCTGATTGTTTCAGTTATAAATTGTATAATTCATTGCTTTTTATTAATATTTTCATCTTCTCAATGGAAAACAGTTTACATTGCCCCACTTTTGATTTTGCTTAAATAACTTTTCTCCAGTTACTGAATATAGAATTTAAAAGATTAAAAGCATTTATTGTTTTATCTAATAAAACTTCACTAGTAGTTACATCTTGATTTGAAATTAGTATTTTCAAGTTCTCAAATATAAAAGGACAGTGTTGAGCAGCTTCATGCCTTCTGCACTGTTTTTTAATAAATGGTAAGAAATTGCAATATCTAATACTGCTCCTATAAGATATTGCAGGTTCAGGGATACAGATTTTGGATACTTGTATTTCTTAATACTACCACTGTTAGGTCCAGATTTTCCCCTTCATGAAGATACTGCAATTGAAAGAGCCTCTGAAGTGAACGACTTGATCGACTTGATGACGATAAGGGAAATCAAGGAAAAAGAGGCTTTGAAAATACTTTTTTGCACCTTTTTAGTTTATAAGTTAAACTTTATAAGTCTGGACTTCTGAGAACTGATAACTTGGATTCTGTCAGGGCCAAAGTGAGAGTATTTGATTACATTAGAGATTTAAGTTTCCACCCACATGCTTTTCACAACTTTGGCATGTCTCATAGAGGAGTGTTTGGCAGGGAAGATGTTGTTAATAGATGACTCATGGCTTTCTGGTCTCTGTTCCTGGTACTGGGAATCCTCCTGTGACTAAGATCTAGTGATGCTTTAGCTTTTCCATGTGATATAAAAGGTTTAGTTCAAAATCAGAAACTTTAATCGGTTTTATTTTGACTATGGGTTATGTTTTTGAAGGGAGAAAAAAGAACAGTAGGTAGGATTTTAAGTGGAAATCTTACGTCAACTTGACCTTACATTTATTTCTCAGAGCGGTAAAAGGGAGAAAATATTTTTTTGGACAGCCTTCAAAAAGTAGAGTTCTTATCTGAGAAGTGTATGGGATGTCTGTCTCCTTCTGAGCAGTAGTCTAGGTGGACACCATGGAAGTCAAGTGTAGTCTTCAGTAATTTTACCATGTAATTCCAATGAATTTCAGTGAAAATCAAGGATCAGAAAAGGTTATACTTTGAGTGGTAGCCATCTACCAACATTTTTCAATAATCAAATATGACACAACCTTCTCTAAGTTTTTCTTCTTGTTTTGCTGTATTTCTTGTTCAGAATTATTTTATCTGCAAATGCACTGGTCTCTTTAGTTTTTGACAAACTTGTAATGAAAACCTTTAATTGGTACAAGTTTAGTTTGGTTTTTTTAACAGTTCCTAGCATGTTGCTTTGTTTCTTGTGGATTGCTCCTTTTTACTGGACCTGCAAGATGCCACACTCTAAAACTGTAGTAGTTCTGTAAATTGTGTTGTGGTTTTTATTATTTTTGAATATTTTTAATCCTACTTTTAAAATACCAAAATAAAAGTTAATTCTTTCTACATATTCACATAATTTGGAATATGCTGGTTTTTTCTGCAAATAAGAGCTTGGTTTTTAAAATCTTCCATGGTTCTTTCTTCTTGCAAGAACAAAAATTATTTTTACACTTTTATGGCAAGCCTGAAGTAAAACCACACAGCTAATTATAAATGCACATAGAGAATCTAAACTTGTAGGGGAAACATTTTCATACTTAATATTATCTTTTTTTCACATCAAATACAGTAACGCTCATTGGTCTTTTTCTAGTAGTCCTTAAAATAACAAGGTTTTGGAGAGGTGTTCTTCAGAAGCAATAAGGAAGGATAATTTTCTTTATGTCTTAAGGCCTCTGAGCTATGAATTGTTAGCATTTCGTAAGATATGCTAGTATGAAAACCTGGCAGTGACTTTTATCTGAAAGAGAACTGAGTGGAAGTCAGTAATTCTATATTGTAAAACTTGCATGTTTATACAGAAAGGCTCTAGCTTTGCATGAAGAAAGACTACCTACGGTAGAGGGCTTTAATAAGAAATAAGTACTATTTAATTTAATTTAATAGTTTCATTAACTGGCGTAACCAGGCATAACCAGGTTGTTATGTAATGTTCAAGTGTGCCTGAGGGCTGCAGATATGTTAGTGTATAACTAGATACTGTGGAACAGCAGATCGTTCTACTTGGTTTGTAGAAATGATCTGTCAGCATGCCTTTTATCACCCACAAATGCAAGGTGTTTATCCTTTTCACCTTTGACTAAGCCACTTTGAAATACCTTTTACATATGTATGTATGTGTGTGTGTGTTTGTGTGTATATATATTGATTCGACTGACATTCAACACCTTGTTACTTTGAGGTCACATATTCTGAACCTGTAACCAATGTTAGTCAAGAGTGAAATGTGAACTTTTAGAATAGGTAAGAGGCAGACAGCACATTGGACATCCAACATCAAGATTGTCTGTTCTAGAACATGCACATTACATTGTGCTTTTGATAAGCCTCCTGTTCCTCCCTTTCATACTTTTCCATCAAGTTGACCTTACATGTTTTACCATATAAAAAGGAATATGTGAACTGTTTTCTCTTTCTGGTTTAATGTTTTCAAGTAACCCATTTCATTCCAAACACAATTACCATCTGGTCTTTCTAACTGTTACCATGGAATTACTTGAAAAGTTAATTGTCTGCTTATATTGCTAGTGAATCTTCTTGTGACCAACTTTCCTGACTTGCATTTTTCCTCACTTTATATACAGGCTGGTTTAGCAGGAGCTCCAGCCCGGGCTGTTTCAGCTGTAAAGAATATGAATCTGCCAGAGATCCCAAGAAATATTAATATCGGTGACATCAGTATAAAAGTACCAAACCTGCCCACTTTTAAATAACATGACTATTCCAGGTAATACCAAGGAAGAAATGTAATAGAGATTTACCGCATAATTGTTTACTAATAAACATGTCTAACTTTTACTATTTGGATAAAACTCAAGGTACTGCATAGATATAATCTGAAAAATCAGTGTGTGGAGTTGAATGTTGCTTTTGTCTTGTTTGTAAAATTAAAGGAAAGGGGTAGGTCTCGTGATTTCTAAATTACATTCCTATGCCCTTTTAAGGCATATCACTGTGTCTCAGCTGCTGCAGTATTTTGGGGAAGTATTCAAGATGTTCTTTACTTTGTATAACCTATAATATGGAGGTTTTTTTGTATATTCACCAAGGTCTATAATTAGTGCATTCTTTAACTACTTCTGTTTGTCATGATTATTTAAGACTTAAGTGCAAATGTTGCATGAAAACATTAAACTCATGTTTTGTTTAAATAAAATCATAACAAACTGGACTTCTAAATTCCTATTTGTCTGAAGTCTACTGTTTGCAATAAAACACATATTTCCTTTTCATGGAGCCAATTGACTATATATAAATACTGTTGTAGCAGGCATTAATGTTGTAGTTTATCTCTGAAGGGCTTACACAGGGGTATTGTGTTGAACATATTGGCTCTTTACATTTCTCACAAAAGCTGTTTGTTATTATTCTGAAGGAAGAAACTGCCTTTACTGAAGATCTAATTACTTCTGTTTACATATAGATGTTGATACTTACACAATCTGATAGACTTTCCCTGATGGTCTCACTTTGTTTTGGGAAAAAGGGCCTCTGTGGTTGCTCTGTGTGTTGTGAGAAGCACAGAATGGGCTGAAGAGATTGGGCAGCTCAGACCTGTAAATGTGAGTCTCTCAAATAATGGGATAAGGAAAGGCACTTTGGAAAGATAAATGGGGATACTTCATTAGGGCTTCTGTGCCTGGTGACCTTTGTGATTCTCTACTTTGAGAATTAGATTTATGAGATACATAGTATTGTTAAGACCTCAGAGAAATCTAAGTGCTATCACCTCTGTGTAAGTTGCTCAGCTCTTAAACTCTTCTGTGATTTAAAAAACATAAAGGGGGATAGTGATTGTTTTTTATAATCATGCTCTTAAGCTCTGTGTGATGTACAAGTCTGTTTAAAATAATAATAAAAGTATCATTGGGATATTTAAGAATTCCTCTAAAGCCTTTTTTTTCCTCAAAAAAAGTATTCCGTTAATACTGTATATGATAATACAGTAATATTGTATCAAGGACTACACATTTCAGGACTAGTCTGAGAAGTCTTGCATAACTTCAGAAATTTGGATTTGATGTAAACCAAGTGTTCTTTTCAGTTGAATGTTAAGACAAAGCCCGTGAGATAAACTTTGAATCACATCACTGTGAATCACATAGTAACTAACATTGGTGCCCTTTGGGAGCATTTGACAGAGAAAAAGAAAGAAAAATTATTTTTTAATTAGAAAATATAATACAATCCAAGGAATTTTAATGTTTTTCTTAAGGCAGGGGTGGTGGTGGGGAACAACAAATTCTTATATATTCTTTGTATTGCATTTAGAATGCATCAAGTAACATATACTGTTTTGAAAATGTTTTTGAAAACAGAGTTGCTCTTTCCATACCTCTTGAAGTGAATATTTATTCTTCTGTATCAACTTTCTTAGTTTGAAGCTTCAGACAATTCAGGTGGGGTATAGGTAGTAAACTGCCTCTTTTATCATTTCTGCTGAAGAAATTAAGAGAATTAAACACACAGCCTTTTTTTTTCACTTATGAGCTATTCTTTACTATTCCCAAGTTAGACAGCTTACCTAGTACAAATCTGGAAGTAATAATTTCACCTGCTTTTGCCAACTTTTGTTTTTCTTGTTAATGCATGGACCATGTGACATTCAAAGTAAAGATGTTGAAAATTTTCCTCATTGTTCCCTGTGTGAGGATTTAGTTAGTTCTACTGCCAAAGGATAAATAGGAAATTTTGAAACATTGGTGCTCTGACCTACAGAACGTTCTTCGGGCTATTTGTGAAAGGACCTCACAATTTTGGAAAATCTTCGAAGTCTTCAATTTTTTTGTCTCACTTTTTTCCCTCTGGTTCATTTTCAAATTTGTAAGCTTGTGTAGTTAAGACATTTTACATTCCTTGTAGAGAAATATTTTCTGTTTTTATTTGAATCAAACATCCAAAGTCTTAAAGAAAATATGTCTGCATCTTGACATGAAGCATATTTCAGTTTAATTTCTCATTTCTCATCTGTCAATGGCCAGGCTGTCATTCATTTTAGAGAACTGGGTCTTTGCTTTTGACAATTACATGACCACTTTAAACACTTTTTTGTTTTAGTTTTGTGGATTTTATTACTGTTGTCTATGCTACTTTTCTCCTAGCTGACATGTCTTCTGCCAGAAAAGATTCTTCTCTGGACAGCCCTTCCATCGACACCAAGCTTTTCAAGGAACTTCTCTGTTTGTGACAAGCCAGCAAGTATTTAATGTGAGGCTGTAGCTTACAGCTGTTGCTTCCTTACTAAGAAAATCCTTGGACGGGAAGAAATGCTTTATCAGATTTTTCACAGTAAAATGGCACTCCTTTCAAAGTGAAATTCTCTCTCACTCTCAGAAGAGGTGCACCATACAGAAAGCCTCCATAGTAGCATTTTTCCTTAGGTAAACAGAGATGATATGACAATGTGGGCTTCCTGAGTGTATCTGAACCTGTGCCAGGGGAGTGTCTTTAGTCTGACAGGGGAGATACTGTCCTCTTACCATGTCATTTGACACTGCTGGGCTTGAAATAAAACCTAACAGAGGAAGATGAGATACTTGATTGATAAAAATTATGAAAATGGTATCCTTTCTCTTTACCTTCTAGGGCTTGTCTTGTGTTATATTCAGGTATTTATAGGCTTGCCACAATGCTTATCTGCTTTTGTTCTTCACCTTCATGAGAATGATGTACCTTTTGAATTCTTTCTCCTATTTCATCAGTTTCCTCTTATGTACTGCTTAGTTTTCAAAATGGAAATATGCTGTGGGCTCTATATAATTAAGCTCTTGATTATAAATTTAGACAGTTTTAGTGCTTTTATAACAGAAAAAACCCACGCTTAGCATTTATGTATTTGTGTGTGTATATATATATGTATGTAGATATATATAACATCAGTCATTTGCACTGGATGTTGTTTAAAAGGAGAAAAGGTCATCTTGGGTCATATTTCAACTGCAGAAGACAAGCAACTAATTTGCAATACTCCACCTCCATAGGGCCTGCCTTTTAAATGGTGTTTATCAGGGTACCAGCCTGTGTAAATGAATCACTGAAAGCCATTTGTCCTAACTCTGGGCGTCTCTTAGAACTGCAAGATGGATTTTTCTAAACATATAGAAAGGGCAGAAAAGATAAAATTTCAATAGGATGAGTAGGCATTCTCATCTGCCTCCATAGACTTGAAACAGAACAGCTAGTTTTCCTACTGGGGCAGGGGCAGTAAGTACTGCTGAAAAAATCTTTTGACTCTTTTTTTGTTAAAAGGTAAGTGTTTCGTGTTGGCAGGGAATGCTGTCTGTGATATCAGCAGCACAGACAGTACAGGTGCTGTATCTCCTCTCCTCCCTGGCTAGTGAACCACTGTTTTGAATATATTTTGGGAAAAGGAAATATTTTACATTGCAAATATATACAAAATTTTCCCTCTTAAACAGATGTTGCTGCTGTGATTCATTCTGCTTGACAGGAATTGGTGTTGCTTTCCTGTGAGTACACATTTGACCCTTTCTGTCTAGTAGTGCATTCCAATAAATGCTAAAATTAGTCCTGAGTTTTACTTAGGCCTCTAATAGCTGAATGGGAACTTGGCTAGTGGAGCGTACTGAAGGAACTGGAAATTAAAATGTCAATTAACATCAAATAATTGTCTGCAGCTATTAAACAGAGCCTAAGTCTTGCAGAAAATACACTTCTCAACTTCTGCAGAGAGTATTCGTAATTTTTACTAGGAGGAAGAAAAGCAGCCAAGTACTGCCAAAACTTGACTAAAGGTGAACAAGAAATTTCACAAAAAATAATTCTTTGTTATTTACAGTTATGATTATCATAACAAGTCATAAATCTCTCTTCCTTTCTCCATTAAGGGAAATGATCTGTCCCTGCAGTTTTTGGTGTTCAGTGATTACCTCAAAATACTCTGGTAATGGTTTTGCTTCCAACCCGTGGGTGAAAACACAAAGGCAGTCTCACTGCAATGTCAATTTAGCAGCCAAATTTCTTGTCTGTAGAGGTTTTGGCCTTGTGACACAGTAGGAGTGTGGTCTGACTTGGGAGGAACTGGAGGTTGAGACAACCTCTCTTTTTGTGCCTGTGACTGGAGTCTGGGGACATTTGAGTTGATCTGGCGTTGATCCCATGAGGCAGATTGACAGGCACACTTGTGAACATATTCCTCTGGTTTCCTGCCCAGTTTGGATCTTCTGAAACTGAGCAGCACAACACAGGCCTTCGGTGTCCTGTTCTGGGCTGGCTCTGCTGTCCAGCCAGCCAGGACTGCAGAAAGAGTGGAGCAAATCCCTCTCCAGATTCTTTCTGAACAGGACTATAAGCATTTTACCAGAGCTGGATATAAAAACAAGCCAGTAATGATGATTGTGATGAGCGGCTTGATGGACAAGTCTGTGGTCTCACTGTTTTCTCTTAGATTTCACAGACCAATCCACAGGCCCTCTTCTCTGAGCATTTTCAGCACTCAGCCAGCAGAGTTGCTGTGGGACACAAGTTGAATTTCACAGCTTCAGATGATTGCAGGGTTAACTGCATAACCCAGGTGTTTGGTAGTATCTGCATGATCAGTAGTCAGTGTGTGCACCTAAGAAACTTCTGCCATTGGTGTAACCATGGTACATGGCACCTGCATCTCCACTAAAGTCTCATCCAAACAAGTTTGACCAAGCCGTCTGCAAAAGAGAGAAGCAAAACTGGAGCGGAGTCTGCATTTGAAATAGCCTTTATTATTGTAAAGGCATTTGCTTTGCTGATATGTGTCAGAATAGCAAACGTGGTGATTAGGGACATGGACTTCACATGATGGTGAAAGCAAAGACATTTATTAATTATTTCAGTAAGCTTTTTATACCTTTTACACAATTGGCTGTAATTGTTCATTCAGGCCGTGTCCTTGCTGCTAGCTACAATATTATAACATTTGTACCTATTAGCAACATTAGTTCCTTTCATCCTTTGTTCGAGTTCCTCTTTCTGCCCTATGGAACTGCTTCTCCTTACTTTTCTCATGGCTTCCTGCCCACCAGAGTGACAATGTCCATTTCTTGCTGTTTTCCCATATTAGAAATCCCTACAAGCAAAGATCTTTCATAATTCAAACAGCCGTCCCATTCCCAAGTTAGGTGCTGTTTCAATTCATGTCAGAAATTGTTTGGATCACCCTAGGACAAAGCTTGGAATTCCTTTTATTCCTGAGACACTCTGACATCTCGTGTTATTGCCTGCCTGCATCTCTGTACAAAGCCTGTTTCAACAGTGAGGGCTGTCTGTGTGTCTGTCTTTTGTGTGTTTTCAGGGCAGGTATCATCACAGATACCTCCAGCAAAGTCCAGCAGGGCACATCCTGGCTGCTGTCCCTCTTCAAAGGATTGAACACTCATTCAGGATGTGCTTGCCCTTGCAACATATAGATTCAAACTCAAAGACAGTAGGTTTAGATTACGTATTAGGAAAAAATTCTGTGCTGTGAGGGTGGTGAGGCACTGAAACAAGTTTCCCAGAGAAGTTGTGGATGCCCCATCCCTGGAAGTGTTTAAGGCCAGCTTGGATGGAGCTCTGAGCAATCTGGTTTAGTGAAAGATGTCCCTGCCCACAGCAGAAGGGTTGGAAATAGATGATCTTTATGGCCCCTTCCAACCCCAACCATTCCATGATTCTGTGAATATGTTGCTGTATACAAATATGTATATACAGGCATCTGCATCCTGGCTCAGGTTTCCCTTGCTCCTTTAAAATCAAGGGCAAATGACTGTTGGTTAGAGACAAGGCCTTATGTGGACCTGTATGCTGGAGTCATAGTGCAGGCAAAGGAAGGAGAAAGGAAGTTAGTGCAAGAGCCTCTTGCCAATGGGTAACTTGAGTTTGTAGTATAGGACTGAAAATCTGAGG